AAAAAAAAAAAAAAAAAACCTGACCATCTCAACTCTTTAGGAACTTTCACCAGCGCCTGGCACTGAGGCTAAAGGGTGTCCAGCTTCAGCTGTGGCTTCTCTTGGGTCTTGTATAAACTTATCCATTAAAATTCAAATATTTTTCCGGAAGTCAAGAGAAGAAGCAGGTAATTCTCTTTTATCCTCATTCACACCCTTCCCAGGGTAATTAAAATGCTTAGGAGAGGTAAAAGGGAGTGGATTGAGTTGAAAGATAAGCCTGAAGATTTAAAAACCCAAATGAAATTCCTGAGGGGTGGGAAGGGCGAGGGGGGGGGGGAGGCTGACAACCAGGGCGGTCTGGGGGGAAGGGGAGGGAGGGAATCTCTGAAGCACAGGAATCCAGGGATGAAGAGCCCTTAGACAGAGAAGGGAAAGACGGGGTGAGCCCAGGGGTCAATTGAATTAATGCCAAGGAGCAGTGGAGAAGGAGGTCCATCCAACCTTCTCGGAAGGGGGCCCCCCCGCTTACCAGAGTCGCTGCTGGTGGTGGGCGGTGTCTCCTCATGCAGCACTAGGGGCTCCGGGCTAGCCTGTGGGGAGGACTCGGAGGACAGCAGCGAGTCCGAGGAAGGAGAGAAGGCTGTGGAGTCGGACGAGGTACAGGACTTGGGCGAGCTGCTGTCGTTGAGCGGGTAGGGGAAGACCACCGAAGGGTCAATGCACTCGGACGCTGCGGCGGTGAGGTCCTGCAGGTACAGGCTAGAGGTGGAGCAGCCGCTGTGCCCGCGGGCGGGGCTCGGGCTGGCGCTGTCTTTGCGCGCAGCCTGGTAGGAAGCCAGCTTCTCTGAGACCAGCTTGGCGGCGGCGGAGAAGCCGCTCCACATACAGTCCTGGATGATGATGTTCTTGATGAAGGTCTCGTCGTCAGGATCGCAGATGAAGCTCTGGTTCACCATGTCTCCTCCAAGCAGCTCGGTCACCATCTCCAGCTGATCGGCGGTGGAGAAGTTGCCGCCGCCACCGTCGTCGTCCTCCCTTGGGGAGAAGGACGCAGCGACCGCAACATAGGATGGAGAGCAGAGCCCCGAGCGGCGGCTGGGGGACAGGGGCGGGGTGGGCAGCAGCTCGAATTTCTTCCAGATATCCTCGCTGGGCGCGGGCGGCTGCAGCTCGCTCTGCTGTTGCTGGTGATAGAAATTCTCTTCCTCGTCGCAGATGAAATAGGGCTGCACCGAGTCGTAGTCGAGGTCATAGTTCCTGTTGGCGAAGCTCACGTTGAGGGGCATCGTGGCGGCTGTCTGCTAGAGGGGGTACAGTAGGGGGAAGCAAGGTTAGAGTTACCCAGCTCTGGTTGATGCAGAAACCCGGCGCAGCGCGTACCCCAATCTTGAACCACTCCCCTTCCAGTGTGCTGTCCTTCCAAGTGTGTGTGTGTGTGTGTGTGTGTGTGTGTGTGTGTGTATGCGTGTGTGTATGTGTGTTGGGGGGGAAGCGCTCTTTCACTCCCTACTATCTCGACGCACATCGGACTAGCAGCTGCTCCGAGTCCCCGCCTCCTTGGAGCAGGGACTTAGCCCTGCAGACGCCCAGGAATCGCCATAGGCCTTGGCCTCCTTCAGAGGCTGAGGGAGGCGACTGTAGGGAATACAGCCTGCCAAAAGCCAAGGCGCAAAGTTTTGCGCCACCTGAAGGAGAAAGGCGAGAGGCGCCGCGGTGGTGCTAGGCTCCCTCCCGCACCAGCTCTCTGCGCCGCCAACCCGGTCTGGGTCCCCACTTGCGCCGTCGCCGCGCTCCTACCCAGCCGGCGCCGCCGCCCCTCTCCGCCCTCCTCTTTCTCCACCCCCAGCGCGCCCCCCTTCCTTCCTCTGCCGGCTTTCCTTTCCGATTGCTGGCTTAGAGGGGCGAGCTCACCCTCCCGCTTTAACAAGCCTGGCCAAATAAAAGGGGAGGGGGTGTCAAATAATAACAGGGACACCTCCCTTCTACACTCTATACCGCGACGCCACTGCGCCAGAGACCCCGCAGCGATTCAGCACCCTGAGCGGGGCGTCTTCCCTCTCCCGCCGAGGGTAGCAGCTGTTACGGAACAGCCCCAGATCACGATTCACCGCAGTCTTCCTAGCAATTCAGGGGCGCGGGGATACCCGCGGATCCCAATCCGGAATGTGAGGATTCCCCCTGGTTTCCCCCAACGAATCGGTCACATCCTTGCCCCAGTTTTGCCTTCCGTCACTGCGCTAGCCCAGCACCAAGTCCTAATACCGTGGAGGTCAGGTTTAAATTTTACTATTATCACCATTTTTAAAGCCAAATGGCAACTTCTTAAAAGGAACAGGGGCAAGTTGGAATCGCCGCCGGGGATTGGCGGGCGGGACGAACATCTGAGTCGGTCTCCGGCTGTCAGAAATGGACTAAGCCGAAATTTAAATGCCTTCCCAGAGACTGGGAAAAGTCAGAGGCTGCCGAGCCTTCTCTATCCCACACGCAAAAGGTAAAGCCTTCTCCAAAGACCTCAGGATTCGAAGGACTTTCTGTCCAGGGAGAAGCGACCTCCGGGTCCAACCCCCCAAAGGACACAAATAGCAATTAATGTAGTAAAGCAAGAATGTCCAACAGGACAGGGTCAGCGTCAACCAAGAGTAACCTCTGGAACCCAATTTCAAAAGGCACCCCGGTTTTTCCTTTCCCCTTTCCTCTGTCATCTTGACAAGCCTCTCTACCCAGACTCGGATTCACCCCAGCTCCACCCCGGCCTACCCCAACTACTCTGCGAAAAGTGTCAAAAGCACAGGAATGGAAGAAAGACTACCCTGACCAGTCGCTGCATTCAAGACGCAGAGAAAATACATGAGAAGACCAGCAGATCTGTGCTTACCGGGTTTTCCACCGCCCAAAGGATATCCAGCCTTCAAAGAGCGCTAGGAGCTCCTTTCAGGGGAGCAGATCGCGGGCAGAGGCAGAGAACACTGTCCCCAAATAGACAAAAAATTTCTCCCCGGCGCCTGGGGAGTCCTATCCTCACTCGCAGATTGTAAGTTCCAGTGCAAAAGTGTCCGCCCGCTGCAATGGGCAAAGTTTCCCAGATGGGGCGAGGGTTGCGATCTCTGGTGCTAGGTCAGCTGGAGGGTTGGGGTGGGGGGCGGCAGGCCCGAAGGCAAAGCCCCTCTCACTCCCCAAGCTGCCTTCCCAGGACGCCCGGAGCGCGGCTCTGCACACTGTGCTCTTCCAACCCGCCCGCTCACTCCCTCTGTCTCTCGCTGGAATTACTACAGCGAGTCAGAAAAAACGCCCCGAAAAGCTTCTTTTATACTGCGACTCTCAGAATCCCTCCCACTCGGCTCTTTTTCCCGCCAAGCCTCGGTGAAGCCCAGCCCTTCTAGAAGCAGGAGGGGGGGAGCAGAGTGGGGCGCGGCGGCGGCCGAGAGCAGGGCAGCCCGGGGGTCCTCGGCCGCGTAGACCCCGGGATTATAAAGGGCTGGTGGGCGGGGATTTGCCAAAGAATCTCTCTCTCCCTCCCACCCCCGCTCTCTGCTTTGGGAACCCGAGAGGGGCGCTAGTGGGGAGCCAGGGAAAGAGGAGGAGCCTCAGCCCCGCAGCCCAGTACTCCAGTTCCTGGGGAGTAAACAGTAAAGCGCAGCATGAATTAACAGCGCGCCCGACCATTTTCTCTTGCTGGCGCGCCCGTCCTTTCCCTTTCCGTACTGTTCTTTGGGCGCAGCTATCGGGTGAACTATGTTTTTGTCCTGCGTGTTTCAGTCACCGCAGGTGGAACAGCTGCCTAGCTCCGCACAATACGTCTTGTACCCTGGGCCGCCTCACGCACGTCCCAGGCGGCCAGGCGCCTCTCTTAAGGTTGGGAAACCAGAATTTAGAAAAGGGAAGGAAGAAAGAATGGGTTATCTATGAGCCCCTGTTCAGTGTGTGCAGTGTTAGATGGGTTTCAATGACAGACAAGGTCTACAGAGGAAAACGATGCCCGGAATTATTAAAATTGCCCAGCAACGCACTGCCACGTATACTTGGAGAGCCACTTATAAATAAACACCCACTGCATCTTTTGGGGAGGGCATTATGCATTTTGGACGTACAGCTATGTTGACTTGGTCCATTCGTTCCATAATGGATCTCCCAATTTGCTGTTAAAAAGCACACGCACGCACACACACACACACACACACACACACACACACACACACTCACTTCAGCACCTCTGGCTCCGACTTCCAGCAGGCAGAGGGGTGGGAGGCGGCTGTTTCCCCATGACAATCTAACCATGTAGGTCTCCCTGCGCATTCCAGAGCTGGAGTACAGTAGGGGAGCGGTGGTGGGTGCTCTCCACCCGGATCCTCTAGGTCGAGTCTCTACCGGCCTGCACCCCATCCCACCCGCGCTCACTCAGAGTTCCTATTCCACAGCCAGCTTTCACAAGAGGCAAATCCTCTTTGCCCCTGTGGAGCCAAGTTGCACCAGACTCCGCGCTTAGAGGTTGGGGGAAATCAAGGCGCTAGACGCGAGAATACACAGTGGGTGGGTGGCTAGGAGGGACACCCGGACTTCCCAGAAAGGGGGAGGAGTAGAACTTGCCAAGTCGGATCTGGATCTGGGGAGCCTGCGAAGACCCTAATATAAAGGAAACCGTTAACCCCTTCCTCCCCGAACAAACCCAAGTCTTTCTTTTCTCTTTATTACTGGAATTGTAATTAGGCACTTAAAAAAAGAAAGCCGGCGCCGATCTGATCAAAGAAATGTTGCGTTTTTGAGTTTTTATTTATGTCTGTGTGTGGCTTTAGCTAATTAAAAGCTGACTTAATTTATACATTAATTTCCCAGTTTACTTTTCCCCTGAATACATTGCTGTGCATTACATACAATCCTCAAACATACACACTTGATATATATGCATATGCATATATATGATAACCTAGTCTATTAACCAATTTGAAACATGAGTCTTTTACTCTGCTCTAGGTTTACTATATAATGAAAAATTCCCTTGGGATTTTCTTATCCCACAGCATCAAAACCCGAAGTAATCTCATTCATGACTCTTCACTCCAAGGCATTTTAAGAAACCTCCCACTGATATCCCCTTAAAAAAGAAGAAGAAAAAAACTACTGTATAGAGTGTATAGTGTGCACATTGTTCAAGGTAGTCATTATCCATTGAGTTTGCAACTCAGGGTTCAGCTGTTAAATGATAGTATCTTCCTCCAGATCGAGCTCATTGCACAATTCGGCTTTAAGGATTGCAAAATGACTACAGCCTCTAGGATTTTGCCTCAAACGCCAAGAGCCGCCAATCCCTAGGCTGCATTTAGCTGCAAAGACTCTTTCCCTGTCCTCTCCCCCGGGCTGCACGGGCTTTCTGGTTTGCGAAAGTAAAGTAAGTGTGCCCTCTACTGGCCACTGAGATCCGGGCTTTGGGAAGCCAAGGAGGGCGGAGGGCGGGTGGGGGCAGGGCTTTTGCCCGCGGGGTTTCCAGGCTAGGCGCTCCGCTGTCTCAGATAAGTTTCCAGGGCACCTTTTAACGACTCTTTGAGACTGCAAAAGAGCCAAAGGAAGAGAAATTACTAAGGAAAAAGTGGTTCAGAGGTAGCTACTCAATTGCATTGAGGTGTCGAAAACGAACCCATCATTACTACAGTCACCCAAGGGAAAGCCCTAGTTGTGAATGGGAAAAGTGAATAATTCACAGGTAAACATGTGAAAAAAAAATCCTAACAGAACCAAAAAGCACTAGTACAACCTTTAGACCCTGTGTCTCACATCTTTGTCATATTCTAAACTGCTAGTGTCAAAGCAGGACACTATATTTTATTGTGCAAGGGAAGGCAGAGTGCAAGGCGAGTTTATCAGCTCCTCGTTTCATTATCATCATTATTTTTTTGTTTCTTTTTGAGACAGGGTCTCACTACCTTTGCTAGCCGGAAACTCACCCAGTTTTTCTCCTTCTTCTTCCTCTTCCTCCTCCTTCTTCACACAAGTCCTCAGTATTGCAGGATATGATACATTTTTTTTTCTCTTGGAGCTGAGGATCGAACCCAGGGCCTTGCGCTTGCTAGGCAAGCACTCCACCACTGAGCAAAATTCCCAACCCTCAGGATATATTCCACCGCACCGGGATTTTTATGCCATGATGAGTGAGGATGGAATCCAGGTGGGGCATATTATGTACGCTCTCTAGCAACTGAACTAAATCTTGAGCCCCCACACCCTGCTTTTATGTTCTTTGTGAGCTGATCCTCAGCTCCGTGCTTATTACTTGTAATAAATGGGGTGGGTGACCAATGGCCTGACGTTTTGTTAGTGCAGAAGAAGACTGAGAATCCTCTGCCAAATTTTGTTTTGTTTTGTTTGTATTTTTATTTTCCCAGACAGTTTCTCTATGTAACAGCACTGGCTATCCTGGAACTCACTCTGTAGACCAGGCCAGCCTTGAACTCACAGAGATCCTTCTGCCTCTCTCTGCCTTCAAGTGCTAGGATTAAAGGCATGCACCACCACGCCCAGTGACTGCCAAAGTATTTTAGAGGATCAATTTATTAAAAGGTTGAAATTTTAGCCAGGTATGGGGATGAGTGCCTCTAATCCCAATTCTGGGAGGCAGAGGCAAGAGGATCTCTGAGGTCTAGGTTAGTCTGTTGTATGGAAGGAAGTTCTGGGCCAGGTAAGGTGTGGTGGTCCATGTCTTTCATCCCAGTGCTTGAGAGGCAGGGGCATGCAGATCAATAAATGGGACCTCAGGAAACACAAAAGCTTCTGGATGGCAAAGGATGGCATCATTAGGACAAAGTAGCAGTCTACAGAATGGAAAAAGATTTTTTACCAACTACGCATCTGATCAAGAGCTACTATCAGCCGGGCGTTGGTGGCGCACGCCTTTAATCCCAGCACTCGGGAGGCAGAGCCAGGCGGATCTCTGTGAGTTCGAGGCCAGCCTGGGCTACCAAGTG